TAGAAATTTAGGAAATCTGAAAATTCTGAACACGTATGATTTGTAATAAAACTTTCTTATTTCCCTTGTAAAATATACAACTTTAATTATGTGAGATAATGTCAACATTTCTTTCATTTTTTTTGTGGATTATACCGTAAATAAATTTTTACCGGCTCAGACAGCTGCCTTTTATAGGAGTGTTGAGGTTTCGTATCTCCACAACAAGCCATGTTGTCGCATTACGACACTGACTGCAGGTATGAAATTAACGACTTCGGAATTAGTTTTCTCCTCTTATTGTTCGTGTAAGTGTGTAATAAACGAATAAAGGCATTAATTTACGACACACACGGTGTGTCTTTGTCCCAGCAAACGAAATCCGCGCTGACAATATTACATCAATTATCTCAACATGCGAACGTGTTATTAATTTTAATTCCATCGTGTTCGGAATCAAATCGAAAACGTTCCGCATTTCAGCGTTCCGTCCAGAAGTCATCGTTTCCCAACATGCAACCTTAAACTCCATTACGGCTGAGGCTCCGAATGAGGAAAACTTTTAATTATTTGGGCTCCATCAATGCAAACCCGGCGACATGTTTGCCACTTTTTTGTGTTTTTCAGGAACCGTGATAAAGTGTCGAGTTCGTATCCGATTCGCAGTGGGTAGAAAATGAATGCTCGGCTATTATTGCAGGCGGTTTTATTAAATTCCCTGCTTAGATAGTTTGTAGAGTTGCGGATTTGGAGGTTTTGTTTTACAAAGCGGTGCATCTTGGGAGGGGATTTGAGGGAATGGTTCATTTGTTTATTCAGTTGCTGCCTTCTCTTCATTGTATGTCTGATTCGGGTAAATTTTATCTCATATCTCATCGTGCAAGACGCGGTTTTGGCGGAGTTTATGACGCTTTGCGGAGGTTACGGATATATTTCTTTTTTAGTTTAAACGTAGAAGGAAGTATAAAAAGACGAATGTAATCAACTGACAAAGTAGCTACTTAGTCGGATGGAGGAGTGTTTGTCACTGACGAAATAACATCATCTTTTGGGTATTTTTTTAAGGAAAGTACTATAGTCGGCAATAACCGCTATTCATCCGTTTGACAACAACGATCTGTATTTTGTGGAAAAATATTGAATTAAAATGAAAACTGTGAGTGGGTAGTGAAGTTGAGCGGCGTCGTAAAATACACATCATTCCAAACAAATCTAAAATATCAACCGATTTTTATACATCATTGCATATTTTTGTTGGTTTTGTAAATTTCAGAAAAAAAATTACACATTTTTAAAAATATTTTAAAAATTGCACGCATTTTTTAGAAATTACTCATGTAGAAAAATATCCAGGTCACTGTTTTAGGTGTTTTTTCGCTTTCTTGTTACGAGCTTGAACAAATCTTGTATTGAAACATAATGGAAATGTTTAATGGAGAAAATGTAAAAAAGAGTTTTTAATTTCGTGAAGTACACATTATTTAATATGAAAATTACCTAAAATAGTGCAACATTTTCAACAAAGGTGTATGATATTCATTGGTCAAATTGCTATAAAAAGCATTGACGTGGTTTATTTTAAATAGTGTACTTTTCGCCATAATAAATTGATTATGGTAGTCGTTTCGAAAACATATATCATTTTGATACTCTGTTTAATGTTTACAACGTTTTTTTTATCATACGCTAGACTGATAAAATTTTTAACGAAAATGTCACAAAACCTGGTCTAAAACAACATGATTTTTCGTGCAAGTCCAAAAAAATTATGAAAAAATTCTTTGTGATGCAGATTACGAAAAAACCGTAATTTTATAAAAGTAAAATTGGCAACTCTGCACACACTTAATGCGCGAACACCTCCAGCTTACTTTCTGATTTCTTAGTAACGATGATGACTGAAATCCACCTTTTATTTTTTTTTTAGGACAATAACCAAAACACCCAGTAGTCATTATGCATTATTATTAATAAAACAAGCTATTATTTTTCATTAATAAATAACCCAAAAAAAAAATTTAATAGGACATAAGGGGTTAGTAGCTGCTAAGATAAGACTGATTTTGGGAAATAAGATAATATGAATAACTGTTTGTCAGTTATTTATTATCCATATACAGTATGAAAAATTTTGCAAAATCGAAAAACCGAAAAATTGAAAAACTGAATTATCGAAAATTTAAAAAAAACCAGAAATTGAAAAGTTCCCAAAATTAATAATGTTGAAAAAATTGAGAAATCGAAAACGTAAAAAATCGGGAAATTTAAAAATCGAAAAGTCGAAAAACTTTAAAAATCGAAAAACCAAGATGGCAAATTAAAAATCGAAAAATTGTAAATCTAGAAATCCGAACATGAAAAAATCAAAAAAATTAAAATTGGAAAACCAAAAATTTAAAAACCGAGACATTGAAGAATTGAAACATCGACAGATTGGAAAGTCGAAAATTTAAAAATTCCGAAAATTGAAAAATTGAAAAATAGAAGAAAAATTGAGGAATCCAAAATCTGGAAAATCGAAAAACTGAAAAATTACAAGATTGAACGACATAACCAAACATTGGAAAATTAAAAAATTGAAAAATTGAGAAGCCGAAAAGTCAAAAAAGCGAAGTCGAAAAATCGCGAACTTAAAAAATCGAGAAATTAAAAATCCAAATCCTGATCGACAAATTTAAGAACTGAAGAACTGAAAGATCGAGACTTTGGGAAGTCGAGAAATGGGAAAATCAAAAAATTGATACATTGAGAGATCCCAAAACCGAAAATTCAGAAATGTCAAAATTTGAAAAATTAAAAAAATATTGAAGAACTGACAAATCGAAAACTCAAATGTCTAAAATATAAAACATTGAAAATTAAAATATCGTTAAATTGAAAAATGGAGAAATCCAACCATCAAAAAATCAAAAAAATAAAAATTCGAAAATCTAAAATTTAAAAATTTAAAAACTGAAAAATCAACAAATCGAGAAATGAAAACTCGAAAATTAAAAAAAAATCTCAACATTGGAAAATCGAAAAACCGAAAAATAAAAAATCGAAAAATCCAGAACCCAAATAATCGAAAAATCGAACTACTAAAAAATCCCAAAACCCAAATATCGAAAAATTGAAAAATAGGAGAAAAATTGAAAAATTGAAAAACTGAAAAATCACAAAATTTAACGAAATTAGGAAATTCAAAAATAGAAAAAATGAGAAATCAAAAAGTCAAAAAAGCGAAGTCAGAAACTTTAAAAAAGAAAGTCGAAAAATCGTAAGCTTAAAAAATCGAAAAATTGAAGAATTGAAGAAGTGAAAAATTGGGATCTCGACGAATGGGAATATAACTGAACATTTAGAAACGTCAAAATTCGAAAAATTGAAAAATAGAAATATTTAAAAACCGTAAAATTGGGAAATCGAAAAAAAAATCGAGAAATCCGAAATTTGAAGAACGGAAAAATTGAAAAAGCCAAAAAGTTCTATTCTGCTTTTTAGCATTTAAATATCATTTATTCGACAAAATTGTACGATGACATCATTAATTGCTGGGGGGGCATGAACGGATCAATTTTGACTAACGATTTAACATGCTTCCAATAATTATAAATTGGAAAATGTTGTTGATTTTTTTCCAAAAATCTTGACGTCTAAGGTAAAAACTCAACACGCATCCATAAACCATAAACGGGTTAGTTCTTCGTAGGACGGAGATGTGTGTCAGATCAGCTCTAACGAAAGTCGGCTTTTACATAAATCGCTTAGAGTCAAAATTGGCCTGATTGCGCTCTGGTCTCTAGATCAAACCAGTTCTCAAGCGACGCAATATAACTTGGAAGGGATTTTTCAAAATGATAACAAAAAAACTTTAATACGTATTTCACTGTTCTTCTTACCGTAAAATTTCATGCTATGATTTCTGATTCAAATTAAAATAATAAATTCAAGAATTTTAAGTACATTAAGTATCATTTAAAGAATACAGTCTGGAGTCAAGTATGCAGTTTACATTACAGTAATTTTGTCTTTATAGCTTTAAAGCAATGCCATTCGGAGAATTGTTATATTTCGGCATATATTAAACACGGAACTCATCTTAAATTCAAAAATACTGCGAAAATAAAATGTAACATATAGAGGAGAGAATTTCATAACTAATGACATTAGAATTTTTTTTCAAGAAATTAAAAGAAACAAGGATCGAAACACAAATACATCGAGATGTATACTGTACAAATAAGGACGACGGATTGAAGAAAAACAGCAAGTGTCATTTTAAAAAATAAAATTGACTTGTCCGACTGATTAAAAATTATTTGTGATTTATTTTATTATTATTATTATTACGTTAAGTTGAACAACATGTTTATGCCCAATTACAATTCAACTTTGCTATTATTAGTAAAATATAAGAGTGTGTAAATAAGGACGTAAACACAGTCGATTTAAGCTGAACTATAGTTCCAACAGCTGCAATCACTACTGTCCTCATAATGAGGAAAGCTTAATCTGTCGTTAATAAGCTAATTATTATTAGGGAGATTAGAGGTCAGGTAGGTTGTGAAGAAGACAAAACAAAAAAGTACATCTAATGGAGTAAATCAAAGTCGTTCTTATGTTGATTAAATTGTATGCATATTTCGTCAATAGACGAGTGTTTCTCAAAGTCTAGGCGAGGAGTCGGCAAATAAAAACAAAAATAAGCACGAGAAGACCACCTAGGAATAGTAAAGCATATTTTACTGAGAAGATTAGGACAATCAATTTTCTAAGAAAATTCGGCGAAAAGTCAGTAAAGGAGTTAAGTAAATCGTGCGCGAAGCGCACTTACTGTCTTCATATTTGATTTTCGAACTATTTCGAGCACGATTTTAAATGTCAAAGGATATTTGTTACAAGGTAAATTCACGAAGTGCAATGACCATACATTAATGTCTGGACGTCATTGCATATTTTAGCTTTTTATGTGCATATATGCGTCTTTCATCCAAGGTTCGTGCACATAAATGTAGCGTTTGCTGATAACAGTTCTAAAAAAAAATCACATATCCTCGATAATTTATTCAGATGTGACGTCTTAAATGTACTATAAATACCAGCATTGTTGACCAAGAGACCACACTTCGTACGTTACAATTAACGTAAGTATGGCTCTAAGTGTGTGGTCCCTTCTATTATTCTTCCAACTGACTTTGGTTCTTGGAAATAACTGGAACTGTGCTAGTAAGTTAAAAAAATAATAAGTCAAAAGTTGCTTTTTGTAATATTTTCAAAGATTACTACTGGAGGGACTATTTCGGTACTATTCCGTACGATGCTATCCCAGTTGGAAAAGACCACCAGGGTGACAATCGATACATTGGCTTAGTATACAACCGTGGCTACGAGCTTCTGCCAGCAAACGTTCTCCCGAAGGAGGGAATCGCACAAGCGACGGCATACACCTCTGTCTTAAATAGTACCGAATACTTGAAAGTAATCTCGGAAACAAAAATTTTTGTTTAAAATTTAATTATTATTATCATTTTCAGATACTGTGTGGTCCTTACAAAAGAGCTTTTGTGTGGTTTCGTGTCGAAAATCCTAGCACTTTTCACAGTTCTAATTATCCTAATCTTATTCCTGGGGGTAGTGAAGTAGGAAAAAAAGTATTCATTACAAGGGTTTTTTACAATGGGGAAGCTATAGTAGGCAAAATGCATGAAGGCGGCAACCAATTAGGAACACCGTTTCCTGTGGGAGATACTATTAAGTATACATACCCCTATGAAGTTTTAGGGTACGATTCTAGTAAACAAGGTATTCCTTGTTTTAATATTAGGACAGGTGTTTCAGATAAACTATAATAGAATACAATAAAATGAATGTCATTTTAATCTTTATTCATATTGTAGATTCCGATTTTAATATTCATGTATTGTTGAAATATATAATACTGGCGGGGGTGCACTTGTTTCATTTTTTGGTTTGAATAGTACTGATCGGAAATTTTACATTTACAAAAAATTTGGGTTTTAAATGACTAAGTAGGCAACCAAACGTAGTTTGGCAAGGTGTTGTAAAACTAAATCAACTGTGACATCTGATTTTTTCTGTTTTTCTAAGTAAAATAATAATGAAATAAGTCTACATATATTAAGAAAAAAAAGACAAAATGTAGCCCCGCCCACCCGCCCTCTCTCAATTGTAATGATTTTTTTCATTCGTCGTGGGTCAAGAAGGCGGGGCTTAGCTGCAATATCTTTATTTCTCTACGAGAAATAACAAACAGGTTTTTGAGTATCGTGTTGTTCAAAGAATACTGTGCATAGTTATTAAGAAAAAAGTAAAGTGAAAGATTAAGCCCCACCCATACCCGCACCGACCTCAATTATCAATTGTGATGAATTTTTCATTCGTTGTCGGATCCAGGGGCGGGGCTTAATGGCAAGATTCATATTTTGTCTACAGGAATTTACTACTTAAAAAATGTTTTTAAGTTTATCTCTATTGTGATGATTTATTTTTAATCACTCAGAGTCAAAGAGCAGAATTGAATTGCAAAATCCTTATTATTTCTCTACAAGAAATTACCACGTAAGACATGTTTTGAGTATCGTGTCTTGATCGAAAGAGTAACGAAGTTTTCATTCGTTGGCAGGCCTATGGGCGGAGCCTAATTGCAAAATTCATATTTCCTTACAAAAATTTACCATTTTAACCGTGTGTTAAGTTCTAATAAAAAAAAATCACAATACAGATGGGGTTGGTGGGCGTAATTTATATGTTGCCTCTTTTTTTTTAATATACATAGTATTTTTTGAACAACACGATATTCAAAAACATGTTTTTAATTTTTTGTTAAGAAATAAGTCCTTTGCATTTAAGCTCCGCCCCCTTGGTTCTCGGCGAATAAAAAAAATCATCACAATTGGGACAAGGTGGGTGGCCGGGCTTAGATTTTGCCTTTTTGTTTTAATATGTGTAGACTTCTTTTCACAACAAGAAACTGAAAACATGCTTGTACAGGTTAAGAGCAGTATTGTGGGTTTTCTATTTGATTAAAACTGAGTTTCGTAGATGGGGCTGAAAGACTTTGATAATAAAATATGTGTCCAAATGAAAAAAACAGAACAATATATGAAACTAACAAAAAATGAAAACGACGAGCAAAAGTAAATTAGATAGATAATACAAGTAGAAAAAGGTAAAGGAAAACTCTAAATATTGGCTGCAATAAACTAGTAATAGACGGAAAAGAGTGTAAATGGGATAAAAACAAGAAAAGCAAGAAGAAATCTGAGAAGCTAAAAACCAAAGTGGAAAATTGGTAATAGGAAACTGGAGACGAAAAATAAATTGAGATTGGATTCAGAAACGGACAATGAAGAGAGAAAAACCAATATATAACAGAAAAATGGTAGCAAGCTAGAAGATAGAGAAATAAAAGTTGGAAATTGGAAAGCACAAGGTGTATATGAAGAAGAAAAGCTCAGGAGTCTAATAGAAATTGCAAAAAATTATGGAACAATAATATTAGTGTTTCAAGAACCCAAACGAAATAATAATGACGTTGTAGAAGTAGGGTTTAATATTTGGGGAAAAATAGAACGTCTGGGTACTGGATTTTATTAAATAAAAATCGAAAATAAATTGTGACTGTGACAGAAGAGAAAGATCTAACGATGAAGAAAATATCTACGAGCAAATACAACAAATAATGGATCAGTTGCTAAACTACTTTTTGAAAATATCTTTGCATAAACAGACATTATAGTATGAGAAATTTACTGCAACCCTATGTCTAAAGATGACTTATAACCCTATCCATCTAATACACACTTTACCAAACGGTCTGATAAGCGCCGAAAGCTGCAGACTTAAATCCCACACACTTAAAATAAAAAAACGTGAAACACAACTCCAAAAAGACTGATTCCATAAAACTCATTTACCTCCACTCGATTGCACTCTATTTATTCTCCTCCCTCGGCACCTAAATTTCGCGTATTTTAAAAAGAAAAAAATACACTTTTACCAGCCGGTCCCATTTCCGCAGCTCGATGCCATTTATTCGAGAGTCGTGCGTCAAGTGGACAAAAGCTCAGGTGCAAGAGGACCGGTTGCGGTCTTCCGGTTCGGGTTCTGACAGGAGCAGAGTGTTTACGGCCGGTCCATTGTGCCCAGGATATCGCCGCGTTTCGCCCGAAATGTATACAAACTGAATTATTTACGAAATATGTAAATTAAGGGAGGTTTTTAACACGCTCGCCAAGTTACGACTCTTTTACTTGGATGATGGATTACGTGCTATTTACGGAGCGGAAATTTGCTAGACTGTCTTGCCTTGTGTATGGTGCAATTAAAGGGGCCGCAGGGGGTAAGGTTCAAAGCGGTGCTCGGCGTATGTTATTCTGATCGGGGGGGAAATAGAAAATTTCACTTTGTCATCTTGATATTGCTCATTATGATTTAGGTTAGGTTCGTGATTTTTCTTTTAATAGAGAACGACATGCAAATTGCTTTTGGGAAATACACATACAAGGAGATTTCAAAAAATGTGTGAGTAGCTAGAGTTATTTTAAAAAAGTGATTCGCGAAAGCATGCGTTTAGTTTCCTTGAAATTTCTGGAATACACCTTAACGTGATGGCATTTCAAAAGAATGAAACGGAATTTTGTTGTGCGTCAAAGACAAAGAAAATGAATAATAATTTTTGATAAATATGAAAGCATTTATGCCACTAAAACATCCTCCAAACTCAGTTATTCTTCGTTAGGTAACTTCCATTGGTCCAAAGACGGAGGAGTACTATTTCGAGCACGATTTTGAATGTCAAAGGGACATTGTTTACAATGTAAATTCGCGAAGTGCAAAGACCATGTATTATTGTCTGGTCATCATGGCATATTTTAGCATTTTTATGTGCATATGTACGTCTTCCATCCAAGGTTCGTCTATATAAATGTGGTTTTTGGTGATAACAGTTGTAAAATGTCTTAAATGTAGTATAAATACTAGTACCTCTGCCCACTTTGTACGTTACAATTAATGCAAGTATGGCTCCAAGTGTGTGGTCACTTCTAATATTTTTCCAACTGACTTTGGTTCGTGGAGATAACTGGAACTGTGCTGGTAAGTTAAAAAAACAATAAGTCAAAACTTGTTTCTTAATATATTGAAAAGATTACTACTGGAGGGATTATTTCGGTACCATTCCTCACGATGCTGTCCCAGCTGGAAAAGACCTCCAGGGTGACAATCGATACGTGGGTTTAGTATACAATCGTGGTTATGAGCTTCTGCCAGCAAACGTTGTGCCTAAGTTGGGGGTGGCACAAACGACGGCGTACTCTTACGTCTTAACTAGTACTGCACATTTGAAAGTAACTTTAGAAACAAATTTTTTGTTTGGAATTAAATCCATTATTTTCAGATACTGTGTGGTCCTCACAAAAGAGCTTTTGTGTGGATTCGTATTGACAATCCTAACAATTTTCATGGTGCTAATTATCCTAATCTTATTCCTGGAGGTACTGAAGTAGGACAGAAAATATACATTACAAGGGTTAATTATAATGGGGAAGTTATAGTAGGCAAAATGCGTGAAGGTGGTAACCAGGTAGGATCGGCCTTTCCTGCAGGAAATACTATTAAGTTTAAGTACCCTTTTGAAGTTTTGTCGTATGATTGTAGTAAACAAGATGTTGTTCCTTCTTTTGATATTAGGACAGCAATTACTTCAGATTAACAATAAAAAACATAAAATGAATGTTTATTTAAACATTATTCATGTATTGTTGAAATATATGAAGTGTACATATGTTTTATTTTTTAGTTCGAGTAGTACTGGCGGGAAATTTTACATTTCGCCCACCCACCTTCAAGTCACTTGTGACGACTTGTTTTATTCGTTGTGAGCTGAAGGGCGGAGTTTAATTGCAAAATGCTTATTTCTCTAGAAGAATCTACCACGTGAAACATGTTTTATGTACCATATTGTTGAAAGAAAACTATATTGCAAAAAAAAATTAATTCGTTGTCGGACAAAGGGGCGGAGCTTAAGTGTAAAATCCGTGTTTCCCGACAAAAATTTACTAAACGTTTTAAATATGTTGACCTGAAAAGAAGATTACGTACGTTCAGAAAAAACGGCAAAATTTATGCCCCGCCCACCCACCCCATCTCATTTGTAAATGATTTTTTTTATTCGTTGTTACCTAGAGGGCGAAGTTTAACTGAAAAATCCTTATTTCTCGACAACTTACCATCTGAAACATGTTTTTAAGTAAATAGCAAAAATAGCATGCACTTGAATTATTTTCTACTATACAATTTTTTTGAGAATTTTTAGACGACTTTTTCAAAAATGAAATTTTTCCCTATGTATATTTGACGATTTCGAAATTTAACTAAATACACATTCTTGTAGATATCGCAAATTTTAAAAATTAAAAAAAAATCGAATTTCACACCGCATATTTCGAAAATATTGCACCGTGATACCAAACACGCTATATTTTTGGAACCAGCTTATATTTGGATATTTTTCTTAATATCCTCTTAACAAACAAGAAACTTAAAACATGTTTAAAATAGTAAAATTTTGTCTGACAACCAATGAAAAATTCATCACAGTTGAGATCAGGGGGGGTGGACGGGGTTTAATTTTTACTTAATACTTATAGTTTTCTTTGAACAACACGATTACTAAATAAGGATTTTGCAATAAAGCTTTGTTCCCCCGGCTCACGACAAACAAAGAAAAATTGTCACAATTGAGACAGGGTGGGTGGGCGGGGCTTATATTTTCTTTCTTTTTTTCTTCTTAATATAGATAGTCTTTTCTTTACAACAAGAAACTGAAAACAGAATTAGAAATGAAACCTCCGTGCATATATTAAGAAACAACGCAAAATGCAAACCCCGCCCACCCACCCTCATCTCCGAATTGTTTTATTCATCGTGGACTGAGGGGAGGAAACATATACCTGCGAACGTGTGTGGGACGGAAACACGAACATACTGTTTTACAACACCTTGCCAAAATTGAAATAATTCTACTTTACTATATATAACCGGCTTATTCCTTCTAGTCGTCTTTAGAATTCTCGTAAAAGATCACATATATAGTACTCTTTTTTCAAAGGATTATTAAATAGTTCAAAAATAATTTATTTATTTATTTTCATTTAAAGGATGCTCTTCCTACTTTTTCTTATTGTCTGTTATTTCTTTGTCAATTTTCCTATTGTATTTTCTTGATTTTCTCAGAAAGTTATAGTTTTCGACTTGTTCGATTTTTTGCCTATCTGGTTATATTTTGTGGCATTTTTCTTTCGCCCCCATTATCATCGTCTTTGTTTTGTCTATATTTACTTCCATGTTTATATTTTGTACCTCTGTTTGGTATTCTGTTATATATTCTGTACAACACTTTATGTTGAAAGAATCTTTGCCGAGTATAAATAATATACTTTGACTGATAGACAACATAGTTTTTTGGTCGACAGTTTGCAAAAACATATTATTAATAATTTATAAAAAATAGGTATGTTCCATTTAAACTACATACCAGGACATACTTATATATCATACCAACTCTATATAGTAGCATGTTTGAAAAAAGTGCATATTATCTTAAACACATGCATATTTTAGCCTTTTTTATGCATATAAATACGCATATTTCATCAAAGCTTCCTGCATTTAAGTGCGGTTTTTAGTGATAACAGTACTAAAATAATAAATAATCACATATTATCGATAATATAATCACAGGTGATTTTTTAAATATAGATACTATATAATTACTGCTAATCAAGAAACAACAATTAGAAACCATACAGAACGTGAGTACCATACGTTACTATTAATAAAATTATGGCTCTAAGTGTGTGGTCCTTTTTATTGTTGTGTCAGTTAACTTCCATTCTTGGAAATAAATGGGACTATGCCGGTATTCAGTTTTATCCTAGCAAGTACTGATGAAAACCCGTACATAACGTACTGAAGACTTAATCTGCCATTTTCCAGACACCCGGTATATTAAACTAAAAATAATCCTGCGTTCTCATTTTTTTAAATTTATTCGTAAATTTAACTGGTACATTTTGTATAAACTTAGAGATACCCTTTTTAGCAATTAAAGATTAATCGTTGTTCTAAATAATTAATTGGATGTTACTACCTCAGCAAACATTCACAACTATTTGGATGTAAAAATGACATTTTTTACGATGGGTAAAAAGTATAGACGGAATAATAAACTATAGTTTAGTGGAATTATGATTGATAAAATTTGAGTGGCATTTTCTTAGGAATGTTTTTAATTGACTTGATCAAATTCTTAGTGGAATGAATAGACAAATTCTCGTTATCGCTAGTCATCTACAAGAAAAGCGCACCTAATTTCCTAGTTATTACTATTACAAAGCACGTCGTAAGAGTACATTGGAACAAGGAAATTAATGAAAGTTCCGTTGTTGTTTTACTATTCGTATCACTATTAAAATTTACGCAGTTGTAAGTATTGCAAAAAAAACTATAAATATAGCTTGAAATAATGAAATATTGTAACTACAAACGTCCTCTTAACTAACTTCCATGAGTTACACATATCTGGATGTATACCGAAGCGCACATATTCTACACATGTTTGATTTTCGTACTATTCACAGTCCGATTTTAAAAGTCAAAAGGACATTTTTTACAATGTAAAATCGCGAAGTGCAGTAGCCCTGCATTAATGTCTGGACGTCACAGCATATTTTAGGTTTTTATGTGCATAGGTGCGTATTTCATCCAAGGTTCGAGTATATAAATGTGGCTTGTGGTGATAACAGTTCAAAAAAAAAAAAAAATCACATATCCTCGATAATTTAATCAGATGTGACGTCTTAAATGTAGTATAAATACAAGTACTTGTGTCCAAGAGACAACATTTTGTCCGAAGACCAAGCTTGAATAACATACGTGACATTTAATATTATTATGGCTTTAAGTGTATGGTTATTTTTAATATTTTCCCAATTAACGTTGGTTCTTGGAAATAACTGGGACTGTGCTGGTACGTTAAAAAAGAAACAATAAGTCAAAAATTGTTGTTTTTTAATATTTTGAAAAGATTTCTACTGGAGGGACTACTTTGGTACTATTCCGTACGATGCTGTCCCAGCTGGAAAAGACCGCCAGGGTGATAATGGATACATTGGTTTAGTATACAACCGTGGCTCTGAGCTTCTGCCAGCAAACGTTCTGCCGAAGGAGGGAATAGCACAAACGACGGCACACACTTCTGTCATAAATAGTACTGAATATGTGAAAGTAATTTTGGAAGCAAAATTTTTGTTTGGAATTAAATTTAACATTTTTAGATACTGTGCGGTCCTTACAAAAGAGCTTTTGTGTGGATTCGTGTTGAAAATCCTAACAATTTTCACGGTTCTAATTATCCTAATCTTATTCCTGGAGGTACTGAAGTAGGAAAGAAAGTATACATTACTAGGGTTAATTACAATGGGGACGTAATAGTAGGCAAACTGCAGGAAGGCGGTAACCAAGTAGGATCGGCATTTCCTGCAGGAAATACTATTAGGCATAAATTCCCTTTTGACGTTTTGTCGTACGATTGCAGTAAACAAGGTATTCCTTGTTTTGATGTTAGGACAGGTATTTCAGAAAAACAATAGAATACAACAAAATGAATATTTTTAAACTTTATTCATATTGTAAGTAGTTGGTGTTTTCAATATTCAAGTATTGTTGAAATAAATATATGATGTCACACGGGAGTGTACATGTTTTATTTGAGCAGTACTGGTCGGAAATTTTACATTTACCAAAAAAAGGTAAAAAGGTCATTTGTTACACCGTAAATTCGCAAAGTTCGATGACCATGTATCAGTGTCTGCACGTCATGACATATTTTAGTCTTTTTTTGGGTACAGGTGCATATTTCATCCAAGGTTTATGCATATAAATGCGGTTTTTAATGACACCTGTTCTAAAAACAAAAAATAATCACATATTTTCGATAATATAATCAGATGTGACGTCTTGAATACAGTATAAATAGAAGTACCAAGAGTTTGTCTGGATACAAGACAGATCGTGAATAACATCCGTTACAATTTATAAATTATAATCATGGGTCGAAGTGTGTGGTCATTTTTATTGCTGTGTCAGTTAACTTTGGTTTTTGGAAATAAGTGGGACTGTGCCGGTAAGTTCAAACAAAGCAACAATGTAAAGAGTAATTTTTAAAAATTTGGAAAGATTACTACTGGAGGGACTACTTCGGTACCATTCCTTATGATGCTGTACCAGCTGGAAAAGACCACAATGGTAATAACCGGTACATTGGACTAGTGTACATTCGTGGTTTCGAACTTCTTCCAGCCACTATTTTACCACAACAAGGAGTAGCACAAACCACAGCATACACTCATGTCTTGACTACCAGCCAATATGTGAAAGTAATCTTGTAAGCGAAATTTTTGTCCGAAATTAAAAATATGCTTTTCAGATACTGTGTAGTCCTTACAAGGCAGCTTTAGAGTGGATCCATGTTCAAAGCAAGGATTTACACGATTATGAAAGTCGTAATCTGATTCCTGGAGGTAGTGAAGTAGGGGAAAGTCTATACATTGGAAGAGTTTTTGAAAATGGGGACGTTATAATAGGAAAAATATTTAGACATGAACGCGCCAATAGAGGAATTTGGTATCCCGTGGGAGATACTTTTAAAAATTCATTAACGTATGAACTTCTCTTATATAACTGTTATAGAAAAGATTTCCCTACGTTTGACGTTAGGACAGGTGTTTCTGATAAACAAAATCATACTGAGATAGTATTCCAATAATCTACTTATTATATCAGATTAATTATGCAATATGAAATGTAGACGATACTATTAAATAATATAAAATGATAAAACTTCATTAAGTAAAATAAGACTCCAAAACTGCATCCGTACTTTCTGAGGGTGTAGATCTTTTATTAGTCCTCACAAGACCTCGTTAGGACTCGAGTTTCAGCAGCCTTGTAAGAACTTATTTTCGATCCAACAAACAATACTGTGTGCCGGCTTACCTCCCTTCATACTGAATCCGTAAAACCTTTCAAGTGTCTCTATTTTATCGACGATCGATGCTTTCAAGAATTATCCTGTCCAAGGACTCGATAACGACAAAGTGGAGTGCTCTAATGTCGCGTGACAGTTTCAATTTTTCGGTTAAAAACTTCATTTCGACCCGAGGGGTGCCTTAACGAACGTACGGCTCACTTTTTCTGGAATTTATTTCCCCAGTACAGCGGTTTCCAAAGTGTGGTCACTAGAGGATTTTCAAAATAAGTTTAAGAAATCATTTAGAAATGAACCCCCGCAAGGGCGTCCTTAAACGATGAAGTCGTCGGGTTTTCGGAATGTGTTTTTTGGTAGCTTTCGTGCTCGGCGGTTATTATCGTTCGTAATTATCTAGATAGATGTGGTCTGCGGGGATAAACACGGCCCATAAAAAATCCACAGCAAGTGTCTGGAACTAGTTGGCACCCCTGCCGTGGGAACGGGCCCATTGCAATGCTAAACAGATAGTAGTCTGGTCTAGACGTCGGATCTCGATGGTTAACAGGGAACGGCGCGATAAAGTCGACCCGGTAGTCTGCAGCAGGCATGCCAACCTACATGATTTAATAAGGCGCATGATGAATCGGTCATAACCGTAACGATGTTTTGGCATGAACTGTAATTTGCGTAATAAGCTATTTGTTTCCGCATTAAAAGCGGTCCTTATTTTTTGCGTGATTTCTGTTCATATTTCAAGAGGATGGGATCGGGGGAGTGCTGGGATGATGTAGGGTGCTAAGTAGTGGAGGAGTTGGAAAATTTTAATGCGGTTTTACGAACTCTTGACCTTGACGGGGAGGTCAGAGCAATATAAAGGTTTGGAGATTCTTCGTTCTCATATACCTTTCAAAATTTCTAATCATTCCTTCTTTCTTCCAATCACTACCCCTTAAATCTGTAGTTTGCTAACAATTTCTTCAAGATCTCCCATATAAGTAGCGAAAAGACGTGGGCTCAGTGGGTACCCTTGTCTTACCTCCTCTATCATTTCAAAATGTTCACTCTCTTTCCCAATCATCCTTATATTGATGGTTGTTTTTGTAGTTTGTTGATCTTGTCTATTAGATGTTTATTTATTTATTTTTTTTCAAATCTTCTCATATGTTTTCCCTACCCACAGTGTCAAATGGGGCTTCTAAATTAATAGAAAAGGTAAATATGATAACTCCTTTCCTGTATATTTCTTTCCCTATTCTATGGTTCGATATACAAACATTATCCATGGTTCCCCCTCCCCATCCTTTTTCTTCGACTAATTCCAACAGTTGCTTTTCTTCCTTATTTTGACTTTTATTTTTGGATCTTCTTTTTCCATCATCTTCTGTATTCTTCCTCCTTTTTCTCCTACTCCTGCATTGAAATTTCCGGCTACAATCACATAGTCGGCATCATTTCTTTCTATTTTGTCTTTTATTTTTTCTTTCATTGTTGTCATATTCTTACTATACCGGGTGTCCGAAAAATGGCGGAATAAATCTTCAGTACGTTATGTACGGGGGTTTCGGGAGTCCCAAAATAAATAATAAAAAAATTGATTATGATGTAGATTACGAAGAAAGCCTGATTTTATAAAAATAAAATTGGCTACACTGCACGTAATGTGTCAATACCTCCGGCTCCTTTTCTGATTTCTTAGTAACCTTTTATTTTTTTAGGACAACCAGTAGTCATTAATCGTTTTGCAACAAAGTTGTTATTTTTCATTAATAGATAAACCAAAAACTCGTAATTTTTCCAAATTTTGATCATTTTTTAAAGTTGGCCATCAGTACTTGCTAAGATAAAACTGATTTTGGCAATGACATACCTCTAAGAAAAGAAAGGGTGGGTGGGTGGGGCTAGTACCTGATAAGATAGGACTGATTTTGGAAAATGAGATACCCCCTAAGAAAAATGAGGGCGGGTGGGCGGGACTAGTACCTGCTACGATAAAACTGATTTTGGCAATGACCTACCGTCTAAGAAAAGAAAGGGTGGGTGGGTGGGGCTAGTACCTGATAAGATAAGACTGATTTTGTAAAATGAGATACCCCCTAAGAATAGAGAGGGTGGGTGGGTGGGGCTAGTACCTTCTAAGATAAAACTAATTTTGGCAAATACGATACCCTCTAAAAAAGGAGAAGGAGAGGGCGGGTGGGCGGGGCTAGTATATGATATATGTTATTTAATTTCTGTAATGTCTCAGTTTACTTTTATATCTGAGTATGTGACTCATCATTCCGACGGCGGCGCTCTACCGAGGAAAAGCCTGGAAGCGGAAATCTCGATGGGCACTCCAGAACAACCTTGATCGTGAAATAGCTAGAACGGAGAGCGCCGCTGTTCATAAATACATAAATTTTTGCATTTCGTCTTTTGACACAGAAATCTATTACAACTGCGTTAACAGCGTATTTCTGAAAATTCGAAAAATCAAATAATTTTTCGAAAAAGCTGGATTTCTTTACCTTCGACCACTTTTTTTGATATCACAATTTTTCGTTTTTCCTTTTTCTTCGATTTGACATTGCCTTGATATCACAGTTTTTGCGCTTTTCATTTTCTTCAGTTTTTCAGTTTGGATTTCATAATTTTTTATTTTTTCTCATAATTTTCCGATGTTTCAGTTTGACGTTTTTTCAGTTTTTCTCCTCTTCAATTTTACGATTTTTAAATATTTCAATGTTTCGACTTTTCGATTTCCCACTTTTTCAATTTTTTAGATTCTCAGCTACTGGATTTCAGTTTTGGGATTTTTCAGTTTTTCCATTATTCAGTTTTTCTTTCATTTTTCAGTTTTTGGATATTTAGGTTTTGGAATTTTTAAATATTTCGATTGAAAAAATAAAATTGACTTTTCGATTTTTCACTTTTCGATTTTTCGACTTCATGAGTTTTCGATTTCTCGATCTTTTATCTTTCAATTTCTCAATTTTTCAATTTTTAACTTTTCGATGTTTTGATTTTTCAATTATCTGACTTTTCAATTTTTCGAAAAATTGGAAAACCGAAAAATCAGAAGCTGTGAAATCGAAAAATCGAACAATCTGAAATTAAAAAAAATTGAAAAATTAAAATATAAAGAAAATTGAAAAATCGAGAAATTAAGAAATCGAAAAATCGAAAAGTGCAAATATCGAACAATTGAACAATCTAAAAACTGGAAAATCAAAAAACCGAAAAATCGAAAAATCGAAAAATTCAAAATTTAAAAAATCGAAAATTTGAAAAATTGGAAGATTGAGGATTCAACAGACTAAAAAATTGATAAATTGAAAAATTCCAAAACGAAAATGACGAAAAATTGGGAAATCGGAAAACTGAAGAACTGAAAAATCGAAAAATCTAATAATTGAAAAATCGTAAAGTGGAAAAATCGAAAAAGCCAGGAATCAATACATCGAACCATCCAAAAATTGAAAAACTGAAATATCGAGTAATAGAGAAACTGAAAAGTCGATTTTTCGTTTTTTTTTTTCAATTTTTTGATGTTTCGATTTTTCAATTTTCCGGTTGTAGGTTTCCGATTATTTTAACTTTTAATGTATCGAAAATAAATATAAAAATTTGTCACTAAAAACATTTAAAAATCCATACAAAGTAGAAGTGGGCGGGGCTAGTAGCTGCTGAGATAAGACTGATTTTGGCTAATGAGATCTCTCTAATAAAATAGAGGGCGGATGGGCTAGTACCTGCTAATATCAGCGTCTTATTCTAGCAGGTACTAGCCCCGCCCACCCCCCCTCTCGTTTCTTAGAGGGTATGTCATTTGCCAAAATCAGTTTTATTTTAGCAGCTACTAGGTAGGATAAAATTGATTTTGGCAAATGATGTACCTTCCAGAATTCAAAATCTAATGTTTAAATTTAATTTTTTTAAAATGGTTACTTTCTTGTTTTCTCGACGTTTTATGACCCTTATGAAAAATTTGGTCTCCTGTTTACGTCTGTCTGTCAACTGTCTGTTTGTGTCGGGGTTTATTATACTGATATTCTTCGAAACTACTGGACCAATTATTATTGTCAAATTTTAGGTGTATCTTAGTTAATGGCTAACCAAAATTTATCTAATCATCCCCACCAATCATTTGATGACGTCGCCCAAAAATTTTAGGTTGTGAATGCTATTTAAATTTGGCTGGACTTGTGGTTTATGAATCCGCCTTAAGTTTTTATTGGAAGCATCCAAGTTTTCATGAGTTCTGGAGAACAAAAAAAGGGTCAACGTTTCGGTCTATCTCTTCTCTGTGTATTTATTCTCGATTATTACTAAGCAGACAATTTCCGAAACTACCGGACTGATTGTTACCAAATTTTACAGTATTTTAGGTAATCGGTTATCTTGTAAAATATGATACTCCTGTACTTGTGTTTTATGAATCTGACTTGTTTTTTTATCCTGGGCCAAACATATTAAAATTATAAAAAATTTCACAATAATAATTTCAATTTGGAAAAATCATTAATTTTGTTTCGAAAATTTTCTTTGGGCATTTATATTAATTTTTCGTTTGTAATAAAATTTCAGTTTGTTACAAGCTTTGGAATTGTGGAAAATAAAACTCTAAAAAATTATTTTAAAGTTACTTAGATATTTAAACACAGTCGAACAAATCCAGCTTTTTCCGAAAAATTAAAAATATTAATGTGCGAAATTTTATTTATTTTCTGGTAATAAAATAAAGTATGATAATACCAGTCACAATATTAAAAAAACATTTGATTCACAAGCGAGATATCACCGACACGTAAAAAATCTTCCACAAAAAAATTTTTGTAAACTAACTGTGATAAAAATCAAGGCAGAGTCATAGACCACGAATATAGGAGTATAATATTTTTTTTAAGCTAGATAATCTTTATCACCAAAACGATGAGGGGACGTCAACAAATTTTATACGCACATTGTATATGAACATGATATTCAAAGCACACATGTAAAAATTGGTCGAAAGCTGTTTCGGCAGAACTTCCCTCGCACCTAAAGTACAGTGAAACATATCCAGCATTT